GGTGCTTCTTTTCCTCATCTAACTTTATGAATCGCTTCATCGCCTCTTTGATGGCGACCCCGAAAAGGCCATCGTCAGAGATGGGGGCATTCAATAGCGTGGCTCTGTCGGTTTCCTTCATGGCCGTCAGAGACAGCCAGAGGTTTCATTCCACAACCACCGAAATGGCCATGGATCTCCCCGCACATACAGCTGACGCCTGTGTTAGGTGGAGAATGGTGCCGGAAATTCTCGACGTCTCTTCCACCTCCTCCCCCGTGAGCTCTGTCTTACCCGTGGTGAGATGGGACAGAGAGGCTGCGAGGAGGGCAATATTATTTGCTGCTGCTACAGCCTGGGCTCCTAGCACGAAGGACTTCTCAACAAGCTGAGCCGTGAATCGGTCCTTCGGCGTGGGCAGAGTGACCTTCTTAGATGAGGGCCAGGGACTCAAACCCAGAACGAGGTACGCAGCCATGGCGCTCTCGAGTCTGGGGATTCCCTGGGAAAAACCCTGCTGTCTTCTGTCCACTCTGGTAAACGGGAGGTACGCTTTGGCCGGTGAACCCGCTGCCAAACGTGACTCCCATGAGCCCTCCACATTTTTACTGAGCGAGGGCATGGCAGGAGCCAACGGCTCTGCCGCCCTCCTTGGCCGAGAGTAGGGGCCGCCCTCCATCATGTCCACTTCCGGGTTGGGAGGGAATGGGGGGCAGCTTGATCTCAAGCCGCTTAGCAGCCCTCTCAATGAGCCCTGGAAAATCTGAGCGCAGAGAGGATGTGGCATAGGACGGGGCTACTGAAATTTCACCCAAGGATGTAAAGGACCTCACACTTTCCTGAGGGAAGGGGGTCTTAAACGTCTGGGTCAGTGTAATGGATTGTTCCAATGGAATATCAATTTCCTCCCCAATAACCTCGTCATCTCCTGAGGCGGCGCCCTCAGATGATGCCTCAGAAGCTGACAGCACGTCCTCTAGAGGGATATCCTCCCCAAAAAATGCCCATCGCTGCTTCCTCTCCTTTAAAGAAAGGAGGGCGCAGCTGGCGCATTGTGGGGGATCTATGAGGCCGCTCCTAGCGTGCTGTGATCCTAAGCACATGAAACATAGGTCCGTGGGAGTCCACAGCTGTCATGGAGGAGCAGCGACACTGAGCTCTGAAAAGAGCTTTTGGTGGTGGAAAATCACCAGGTGTGCTCATAATGAAGGACGACGTCGAGAGCTTGGAAATCGACGGCGGGTTCGTCCTGAGTCTTCTCTTCTTCTTCACGGCTTCTTCAGTCCAAGTCGCTGAAGATAAAGGGCGGATGATTGAGGGGACACCTGGACTCCTATTGGCTACAGGTGTGCATAATTTTTTCTCAGGCTATTCACTGCCTAGGCAGCGGGGTACACCAATAGGAGCAGAGCTCTCCTATGGAAAGGAGCTCCACGATATAGAACCTTAGCAGGTCTATGGAATCTTATGAAACGTTTATATTTTACACAAACCAGTTCGTCCAAAAGAAAACAAAACCCAAGTAGGAAAATTCCTTTGCAGAGGAGTAGCTGCCATCGATTATGGAGCCACACTAATGCCAGTTCCTATCAGATAACAGGAGGACAACACTTCTTCCCCAGATGGCCTTTAAATGCAGTATTCCCTAATCACATTAGCAGACATCTCAGATTCTGTTGCATCGACGACATCCTGACAAATATGGGGTCATGGAGGACTGAATGCCATAACCTTGGATTCAAACAAATACTACTTTGAACAACCAAACTAACAGAAATCATTCATTTCCATTGCAAGGAAGCAACATGAGTAGACATCGAGCGATCATCAGGACCGTGATTAGTTGAATCATGTGTTCGAGCAGGACTGGGTTGGCCAGTTAGGGGAGTGAACAGAAGTCTTCAGATCTCAGGCAAGGTAACTCGTCACACGAGTGTGGCGAACCAAACTACCTTTGCTACACTTCACCCTTCTTCGACCACCTTCTTTCTGAATCGACTGAATCCAAGTTACTGCACCAATGTGACTGGCTGGGTTTGAGGCTGGGTCGCCTGCATGCCATAAGTCTATTAGCACGTAGAGCTAAAGCCTGTAGGCGTTTGCTCATGGAGCCAGCATGTTTTCAGGCAAGGTTACTCATGACTTGGTTCACCAAACCACCTGTTACAATAGTTAACATTTAATTATAAAATGGAAAAATGTATTTTCTCTGCCCTATATTTGATGAAATCCCAGGCACATGCATGTGTTGAAATATTAAATGTAATCACTGACACTTGGAAGGACATTTGCATATGTCCATTTGAACTTAGACCAGCTCTGCTAGTTTTTCCGAGACCACAAAATTGCACAGAACTTCCCTATACAATCCAAGTTGTTTGCTGCTGTTCAATTACCTTTCCATGTGTGCACTAATGCCGGATCTGGATACCTTTGCACAGATGGAGCCAGGGGCCATCTTTCCAGTTTGCAACAGTCTAAGTTCCAATCCACTAAGAGACTGTACTTGTTATGGAAGGAACAATGGTTCAACAGCATGAATTTCACACCAATCATAATGAAACAAATGTGAAGTCTTGATAGTTGTAATGATCTATCAACAATGGGTTGCATTTATATGGCACTTTTAAACTCAAGGCACTTTGCATTGTTCTGGGGGTACATGACACTAATATGTATCCATATCAATACACAACTTATAACATGGACCTCTTGGAGGACAGCATTGTCATTTTGCATGGGAAAGAAATGGCTGGCATGCAAAAATAAAAAGAACAGTCCACAACATTCAATGTAGAACCAAGTTCACTTTTATTGTCCTGATTTAATGCATTTTCAGGTGGGCAGGTTTACCACCCCTTCACAATCCATACAGTTTTGAAATGGTGTTTAACACTTGTATGCCCTTTATAACGTCTCATGAAAACTTCTGACCCCTCCTCCCCCAACATAACAAAAACTCCTCCTCCGCTTTTGCGCTCTCAGCCCGCCTTCCTTCCAGCAGTTCTGATGAGTCACTTAGCGGCCTGCCATGTTAAGACCCTCCTTCAAATAAATGTCCTCTGACCCATCTCCTGGCTGACGCTGCTTTAGCTGGGCATTAGCCTGCGGGGACAGCCTCTCCCTGAGCCGCAGTATGAGAACGATTAGCAATTAGCAGAGTGGCTTACTGCTTCAGAGGAGCTGGCAGGGAGAGGGGCTTACCAACAACGCAGCTATGTTACAGAGTTGTCTTTAAAATGGAGGAAGGAGGGGGCAGTGAGACGGACTAGACTAGTTGTGTGCAGCCTAGCGTACATTTTGGCTATTGGGTCAACCTTGGGTGACTCACAAAATCTGGGAAATGACTGCAATACAGTTATGGGAAAAGGATAAAAATTAAACAAACTGAGCCCATCACTCAAGTTATTTTAGTGAGGCTCCGACCAATTACCATTTTCCTGGGAATGGACCCTGTACTTTAGTACTTCTCTTGGGACTCATGAGTGTCACGAATTTTCGGGATCTGCAAATAAGTGTTTTTCATGTCTACAAATCCCCCTTAGCATGTTGAGCTCATGGTCCTTACAGAGTTTCTGACTATTAAATTGAAATGCAGTAACACTGAAATATAGTCAGCTTTTGTGACTGGAGAGAGCCAAGCTCCTGTTTTAAAGTGACACTACCTCTGGAAAGAGTGGGTCTGCTGCAGAGACTGGCCCATTCAAAGGAAGCCCCAATCATTTCACGACAGTTGATTTGAGCTCTATCACAGACTTACATTAACCATACTGCAGCAAGTTTGCATCTTCAGTTTCTTACAATAATATATATATATATTTAATTTTTTTTTACACCCCCCCACCCCCCCGGGAAACAGAAACAAACATTTCAAATGAAGAATAAGTACTAGAATATCCCCACCCCACAAAACATAAATTTTCCAGGGAACACATTTCATATCCTGTCTCTGGATTCAGTGTGACAACCAGTAGGTAGATGCCCCACAGGAATACCAGAACAGTACATTTTTGGGCAAACATTCTAACGCAGGTTTGTAAACATAATGTTTCCCTTGAGCTCAAAGGAGCTTGTTTATTAACGATATCATGAAATAAAGACTCAAAAGTTGATTTTCAATATCATAACCCATCCATCCATCAAACTAAATCAGCATGAGTTTAATTCAAAAACAGAAATGCTATTCGTAGTTCTTCCACAGTTCTGCTGCACTGACAAAACTGGAATCAAGAAGCAAATAATACATTTGTCATCGTAATACAGATTTGTCCTCTGGTGGGTACATTAGTTTTTTCTCATCAAACAGAACACAGCCTGTTTTCCTTTAAATAAGCTGGCGAGGAAACGCTGTAGTCCTTCTAGAGATTTGCTACTCTAGAATAACCTCCCAATTAAGAACATGTAACTTTAGCCAGGTTGATCCTGAGGGCTCTGGCTCTTCAAACAAAGACTAAAGCAGCTTTTTTTTTTTTTTCCTTAATTGTTTTGTTTCCGTTTTTATTTTATTTTTTATTTGTGTTTTTGCCTGCCCCAACCTCTTAATCCTCCCTACCCCCGTTTTACATTGGCGCCCACCCACACACAGGTCATACTCACACACAAACCACCCTGACCTTTGTAGTCCCTATTGAAACCCCCTCACCTCTCAAAAGGTACCACTTAACCCCCCCCACCCCCCCAAACACACACACACACACACAAACACTGGTCTGTGTGACCTGTAGCCAGGTGGATGTAGTTCCCCGTGTTGCCGTGGGGACCCTAGAAGTCTCAGCGACTCGACATTGCAGTGTAAACTAAACACCTTAAGGCACCCTTTTGCACTGAGGGCAGAAACACTGGTGGTGCTCAGGGTAGCATGCCCCTGCTGTCAGGGGACGATACTCCTAATTTAACCCCCCACCCCCACGGCCATTATAACCCATGCACGCACGCACACACACACACACACACACACACACAGGTGTTGCGTCTCAATTGTCTCAAGTGGATTCCTTTCCTTGAGCCCTCTACTTCACAATGGAGATGACCCACTTTGGACAACTGGGGCGCAGCATGGGATCTCCTCTCACGTGCAAAATTGCTTCAGAAAGTCAAACACATAAGGCCCACGTTTTTTTGCATTGCTTTTGGAAAAGATAAACTTTTTAAACAATAAATCTGGGGACCGCTCCTCCATCATAACAGTCCAAAATAAATAGATCTCCCTCTTTTTATATACTTAAATACAAGTGTAAGTATAATATTTTCTCTGCTTTCAAAAATAAGTTTAATTTTTGTTGTTCATTTTTAGGGATAAGTCCTTCAAAAAGGCAAGAAGAGTTAAGTATTTCACCCTACCCCCTCACACATAGCTCCTTTCCTCTAGACCAGTGTTGTAGAAATGGAGAGGAGCTTCAGGAGAAACCAATACGAGAAAAGGTAGGGGAGTGGGGGGCAGTGAATAAGAACTTGAAGATTGCAGGAGGCTACAGTACGCAGCCTGTGGAATCAAAGGTAGAAAGAAAGGGTAAAGGAAGGAAGCGGTGGCAAAGGGGTCTGAATAAATAAAAGCCAGTTGGATCCCCCTTGCGCTGCCCACCCACCCCTTAAACCACCTCAACACAGTGGTCTTGAAGCTGGTGCTCTAGCGCCAGGACTGGGCCCTGCGCTGGTCAAAGTCAGCGATGAGGCGCTTGATGTGGGCCAGCTTGTTGTGCAGGTACTCGCAGCGCTGCTTCTCCACCTGGTAGTTTGGGCTGTGCTGCAGGGTGACACACACAAAGAAATTAGACTCCATAATATGTTACTTTAGAAAGCCATTTATAACGTTTTTGGTGTACAGAATGCTTGCTTTTGTTGGCGGCCGCCCTGCGCTGACTAAGACTGGACAGCTGTTGTCCTTAAGCCATTTTGGCACAACTTTGGAAGTATGCTTGGGGTCATTGTCCATTTATGCTTGGGGTCATTGTCCATTTATGCTTGGGGTCATTGTCCATTTGGAAGACCCATTTGCGACCAAGCTTTAACTTCCTGACAGATGTCTTGAGATGTTGCTTCAATATATCCACATAATTTTCCTTCCTCATGACGACCATCTATTTTGTGAAGTGCACCAGTCCCTCCTGCAGCAAAGCACCCCCACAGCATTATGCTGCCACCCCCGTGCTTCACGGTTGGGATGGTGTTCTTTGGTTTGCAAGCCACCCCCTTTTTCCTCCAAACATAACGATGGTCATTATGGCCAAACAGTTCTATTTTTGTTTAATCAGACCAGAGGACATTTCTTAAAAAAGTACAATCTTTGTCCCCATGTGCAGTTGCAAACCGTAGTCTGGCTTTTTTAATGGCGGTTTTGGAGCAGTGGCTTCTTCCTTGCTGAGCGGCCTTTCAGGTTATGTCGATATAGGACTCGTTTTACTGTGGATATAGATACTTTTGTACCCGTTTCCTCCAGCATCTTCACAACGTCCTTTGCTGTTGTTCTGGGATTGATTTTCACTTTTCGCACCAAAGTACGTTCATCTCTAAGAGACAGAACGCGTCGCCTTCCTGAGTGGTATGACGGCTGCGTGGTCCCATGGTGTTTATACTTGCATACTATTGTTTGTACAGATGAACGTGGTACCTTCATGCGTTTGAAATTGCTCCCAAGGATGAACCAGACTTGTGGAGGTCTAAAAAATTTTTTCTGAGGTCTTGGCTGATTTCTTTTGATTTTCCCATGATGTCAAGCAAAGAGGCACTGAGTTTGAAGGTAGGCCTTGAAATACATCCACAGGTACACCTCCAATTGACTCAAATGATGTCAATTAGCCTATCAGAAGCTTCTAAAGCCATGACATTTTCTGGAATTTTCCAAGCTGTTGAAAGGCACAGTCAACTTAGTGTATGTAAACTTCTGACCCACTGGAATTGTGATAGTGAATTATAAGTGAAATAATCTGTCTGTACACAATTGTTGGAAAAATTACTTGTGTCATGCACAAAGTAGATGTCCTAACCGAGAAATTTGTGGAGTGGTTGAAAAACGAGTTTGAATGACTCCAACCTAAGTGTATGTAAACTTCCGACTTCAACTGTACATAGCTAGCGATTAGTGTCATGTAAAGTGTTGGTCCCATGTTTCATGAGCTGAATTAAAAGATCACAGAAATGTTCCATATGCACAAAAAGCTTATTTCTCTCAAATTCCGTGCACAAATTTGTTTACATCCCTGTTAGTGAGGATTTCTCTTTGCCAAGATAATCCATCCACCTGACAGGTGTGGCATATCAAGAAGCTGATTAAAAAGCATGATCATTACACAGGTGCACCTTGTGCTGGGGACAATAAAAGGCCACTGAAATGTGCAGTTTTGTCACACAACACCACAGATGTCTCAAGTTGAGGGAGCGTGCAATTGGCATGCTGACTGCAGGAATGTCCACCAGAGCTGTTGCCAGATAATTTAATGTCCATTTCTCTACCATAAGCCGCCTCCAGAGTCGTTTTAGAGAATTTGGCATTACATCCAACCGGCCTCACAACCGCAGACCACATGTAACCATGCAAGCCCAGGATCTGTACAAACTGTCAGAAACCTTCTCTGGGAAGGTCATCTGCGTACTCGTCGTCCTCACCAGGGTCTTGACCCGAATGCAGTTCAGCGTAGTAACTGACTTCAGTTGGCAAATGCTCACCTTCGATGACCACTGGCACGCTGGAAAAGTGTACTCTTCACGGATGAATCCCGGTTTCAACTGTAACGGGCAGATGGCAGACGTGTGGGCGAGCAGTTTGCTGATGTCAACGTTGTGAACAGAGTGCCCCATGGTGGCGGTGTTGTTATGGTATGGGCAGGCATAAGCTACGGACAATGAACAAAATTGCATTTTAGCAATGGCAATTTGAATGCACAGAGATACCGTGACGAAATCCTGAGGCCCATTGTCGTGCCATTCATCCACCACCATCACCTCTTGTTTCAGCATGATAATGTACGGCCCCAAAGCTGAAAATGTCCCAGTTCTTTGATGGTCTGTATACTCACCAGACATGTCACCCACTGGCCATGTTTGGGATGCTCTGGATCATCGTGTACGACAGCGTGTTCCAGTTCCCGCCAGTATCCAGCAACTTCGCACAGCCATTGAAGAGGATCGGGACAACATTCCACAGGCCACAATCAACAGCCTGATCAACTCTATGCGAAGGAGATGTGTCTCTCTGCATGAGGCAAATGGTGGTCACACCAGATACTGACTGGTTTTCTGATCCACGCCCCTACTTTTTTTTAAAGGTATCTGTGACCAACAGATTAATATCTGTATTCCCAGTCATGTGAAATCCATAGACCAGGGACTAATGAATTTATTTCAATTGACTGATTTCCTTATATGAACTGTAAAATCAGTAAAATCTTAGAAATGTTTGCATGTTGCATTTATATTTTTGTTTAGTGTATACTGCATTATTTGTTTTACTTACTTCTCTCATTTTATTGTACTCCTGCAACACTTCTTCATGTACTTCCTGCAAAAGTTTAAACAATGCTTTCATTTACATGAGAAAAATGTGTTCCAGTGACATTTTACCATAAAACAATGTTTAATCTGACATGGTACTCTGTGGTGTAGTTTGTTATACTTTGACCTGATACTAATGGTGCGTTCACGTGCTGTCAGAGTTATCGGCAATACGAAATTCAGACTGGGACGTTTCACTTGAACGACCCTCCAAGTAGTAATTACTAGTGGAAAACTCTGAGAAAATGTTGTTACCCGAGTTGCGATGTTTCACCACTGACCTTTCACCTTTTAAACAAAAAGATGACATATCAGTTTGACAATTACAAACTTATCAATGTGGATAATGTAGCTAGTTTGACCATAGTGTCAATGCAAGCTAGCTAACTTTATTATTAGCAAGGTTAGCCATCTTATCTAGCTAGCTAAAATCGAATTGGTAGAACAATTGTTCCGACTTCAAAAGCACTTGAACAAAATCATGTCGGACTTACGACTTCCTTATTGGGAAGTGTTGCACTTCCGACGAGCACGTGAATGCAGCATTACACTGTGGTGAAGTTTGGTAAAATCTGGCCTGGTACTCTTTGGTGTAGTTTATTATAATTTGACCTGGTGGTGTAGTTTGTAATATTTTATCCTTGTATTCTGTGGTGTAGCTTGTTATAATCTGACCTGGTACTCTTTGGTGCCGGGCGGCAGCCTCCTGGACTGGGTGTCTAGATGGTTGAAGCGGCGGGTGATGTTCTCCACGCGGGCATGCAGGACGCGGTACTCCTCGTACTCGGCGTTGAATTCGTCCTTGTAAGTCTGCCTCTGGTCCATAGACACCACTGCCGTGTACTTCCTGTACGGGGACAGCAGCACAGGACAGTGATGAGGACACATTAACACACAGGGTCCTTCAAGTGTATTTGAGAGGGGTAAAAGGCAATACCATCCCCCAAAAGGCTGATGGTTGGTAGCAGTGGTGGTCTTTTGTGGAAGCCTTATGTCCCACATAGGAACAAAGAGTATTACGTAAATAAGTAAAAAGGGGGTAGCACTCACCCTATGTAATCTGGCATCACAGTGGTGGAGGATAGGTCTGATGAGTGGACTGGCCTCTCTTTAGTGTCTGGGGAGCAGCAAAGACACACGTCAGACGATTATTCTATATAACCAACTGACATCTGAACAGCTCTCTTCACTAGTAGTACCCTTAAAAAGTATGAGCTATTCAAAAGTACTGGTCTTGAAACAGTTGTTTAAAGGCAGAACAAAGAGTCAAACGGAACCCATGGACTGATTTCTGAGTCTGCTGCTCAGGGCAGTCCATTATTTGCCAACCTTAATATCATATTCTAAATATAATAAATACTACATACTAAATATCAAACCCCCCCAATAAATGCTAACCTCCCGTTATTGGTAATTGTGAGGTTAACATGTCTTGGGGGGTATGATCTTTGTGCCTCCAACTTTCTCACTCATTATTCACGATTCATTCAGGGTTATCTGTAATCATGGTAGCATCCACATTAATATAGAAGGTGTTCAAAAACATTATATTCTTAATTTACAATAAAAGTGACTACAAAATGACACAGTACATGATTTACCGTTCATTTCATATTGGATACGACATAATCTGAAACAACCAAAACAAACTGCAAATACATCCAACAAGTTTGAAGAGTCACAAGCTTGATGTAGTCATTGCGTGCTAGGAATATGGGACCAAATATTAAACTTGACTACGTTAATTCACATATACACCGAGTGTACAAAACATTAAGAACACCTTCCTAATATTGAATGGCACACAACACTATCCATGTCTCAATTGTCTCAAGGCTTAAAAATCCTTCTTTAACCTAACTCCTCCCCTTCATCTATACTGATTGAAGTGGATTTAACAAGTGAGATCAATAAGGGATCATAGCATTCACCTTGGTCAATCTATGTCATGGAAAGAGTTATTAATGTTTTGTACACTCAGTGTAAGTGAATTTGTCCAAATACTTTTGGTTCCCTAAAATGGGGGAATGTATGTACAAAAGGTGCTGTAATTTATAAATCGGTTCACCCGATATGGATGAAAATACCCTCAAATTAAAGATTAGTCTGCACTTTAACCTCAGTCATTGCATCATTTCAAATCCAAAATGCTGGAGTACAGAGACAAACCAACAAAACATGTGTCACTGTCCAAATCCTTTGACCTCACTGTATGTACAGTACCAGTCAAAAGTTTAGACACACCTACTCATTCCAGGGTTTTTCTTTATTTTTACTATTTTCTACATTGTAGAATAATAGTGTAGACATCACAACTATGAAATAACATATATGGAATCATTAAGTAACCAAAAAAAGCATTAAATCAAAAAAGATTCTTCAAAGTGACCACCCTTTGCCTTGATGACAGCTTTGTACACTTTTGGCACTCTCAACCAGCTTCATGACGTAGTCACCTGGAATGGATTTCAATGAACAGGTGTGCCTTGTTAAAAGTTAGTTTGTGGAATTTATTTCCTTCTTAATGCGTTTGAGCTAATCAGTTGTGGTGTGACAAGGTAGAAGATAGCCCTATTTGGTAAAAGCCAAGTCCATATTATGGCAAGAACAGCTCAAATAAGCAAAGAGAAACAACAATTCATCATTACTTTAAGACATGAAGGTCAGTCAATCCGGAATATTTCAAGAACTTTGAAAGTTTCTTCAAGTGCTGCCGCAAAAACCATCAAGCACCATGATGAAACTGGCTCTCATGAGGACCACCACAGGAAAGGAAGACCCAGAGTTACCTCTGCTGCAGAGGATAAGTTCATTAGAGTTTCCAGCCTCAGAAATGTGCAATTAACTGCACCTCAGATTGCAACCCAAATAAATGCTTCACAGAGTTCAAGTAACATCTCAACATCAAATGTTCAGAGGAGACTGCGTGAATCAGGCATTCATGGTGGAATTGCTGCAAAGAAACCACTACTAAAGGACACCAATGAGAAGAAGAGACTTGCTTGGGCCAAGAAACACGAGAAATTGACATTAGACCGGTGGAAATCTGTCCTTTGGTCTGATGAGTCCAAATTTGAGATTTTTGGTTCCAACCACCGTGTCTTTGTGAGACGCAGAGTAGGTGAACGGATGATCTCCGCATGTGTGGTTGCCACCGTGAAGCATGGAGGAAGAGGTGTGATGGTGCTTTGCTGGTGACACTGTCAGTGATTTATTTAGAATTCAAAGCACACTTAACCAGCATGGCTACCACAGCATTCTGCAGCGATACGCCATCCCATCTTGTTTGCGCTTAGTGGGACTATCATTTGTTTATCAACAGGACAACGACCCAAAACACACCTCCAGGCTGTGTAAGGGCTATTTGACCAAGAAGGAGTGTGATGCAGCAGATGACCTGGCCTCCACAATCACCCGACCTCAACCCAATTGAGATGGTTTGGGATGAGTCGGACCGCAGAGTGAAGGAAAAGCAGCCAACAAATGCTCAGCATATGTGGGAACTCCTTCAAGACTGTTGGAAAAACATTCCAGGTCAAGCTGGTTGAGAGAATGCCAAGGGTGTGCAAAACTGTCATCAAGGCAAAGGGTGGCTACTTTGAAGAAACTAAAATATATTTTGATTTGTTTAACACTTTTCTGGTTATTCCGTAATTCAATCTGTGTTATTTCATTGTTTTGATGTCTTCACTATTATTCTACAATGTAGAAAATAGTAAAAATAAAGAAAAACCCTTCAATGAGTAGGTGTGTCCAAACTTTTGACTGGTACTGTACATACAACCGAGATACATGCTCCAACTCACACAATGCAATGCAAGCATCCCATCATGTTCAAAGCATGCACACACTTTGCCCTTTCCTAGCATGTATACACTTTCAATGCATCAGTCAATGCCTGGTTATCCAATGCAGTAATGCATTGCTGGCATTACAAAACCATGGATTGGCAGTGTTTTTTGTTTTTTTTCCTGACGTTTGAAAGCGACCACTACATTACTTGAAAACAAGACCTTTGGCAATCAGGCCACGCACGCTAATAAGCAAGCACACATTTCCCTTTTAAACAATGCTTTCAAGCATGAAGCCAAACCAAGACATTAAGGGAGACTACCTTCGTCCGGGCAGACTGGGCTCTTGGCGGGGATGACTGGCGTTTGTCTCTCCTCCCCCTTGGTGCGGTGTCTCTTTCTGGGCCTCTGAGCGTCCTCAACCGGCACCCCTCGGGGGCTGACACCACGGCCATCGCCTGTACTGCGTCGCCCATCCTTGCGCCCCTCTTTCTCTTTCTCGCGGTCCTTCTCTTTGTGCTTCTTGGACTTTTTCTTGGACTTCTTGCTACTGCTTGGCGAGGGAGGGGGGACAATGGTAGAGGATGGATGATGAAGTGGAGATGGTGGTGAGGGCTGGGTGGCTTTGGGGACTGGAGCTGGCCGGTGGCGGCATGCGGGGGCCATAGCGGTTAGCGGTCCTGCCCGGGGGGCTGGAGGTGGCTATCGGTGAGGAGGAGGAGGGGTCCAGGCAGGTGGAGCTCTGGTCCAGGGGCAGGTCCTGGGTGCCACGGCCCTCAGGTGTGCTGGGCGAGTTGGAGTTGGAGCCCGGGCCAGGCTGATGCGACGGGGGAGGGCGGTGAGAAACCGGGAGCTGGGAGGGAGGGGGGAGGTGGTGGTGGTTGATGGGCGGGCCAGCCGTGGTGGTGCTGCTGGCTGGGAGAGACGAGCGCTTTGTGGTGGTGGTGGCAGCGGCGCTGTGGTGGCTGTCGTCCTCCTTCGGGGGGCCGCGGCGCTCTCTAGAGGACGAGGTGGGAATGGGAGTTGGGGTGGCGGGGGGCCCTTGGCTGGTGACATGGGAGATGCGGGGCTTCTTGGGCATCAGTGGGTCGGTGAAGTGAACCGGCAACTCTGGCTGGCACTTCTGCTAAAAGACCATAACCAAACCATCAAACAAGGATTTCTATGTTGATTGAGTTATAAAAAGGACAGATGATTCCTTTTGACCTTAGTAAACAATTCATTGAATAGGTTTGAGATAAAATCTCTCTTTACAGGAGAGGCCTGGTCATCCAGTTTGGCTTGTCTGTTGGCTTACATGCTGGTTTGTGCAAGTAATACTGAAAGTGTTTGCGTCCAGCAAGGTGTACTGTTGAGGGGTTACCTGTGGGGAAGCCGGGAGGCCATCTTTGGGAGGACTGCTGGAGGAAAGTGTCTCAGTGGGAAGTCCCAGTTTCCTGAGAGAAAGAGGGCAGATGAGAAGGACAACTGACCGTAAGCAGATGCTACACCATCACTACATGAGGTCCCGTTTGCAATAAATGGAGGGGCCTGTTCAGGAGGGTGCAATGTCGCAAAATGTTTACACAGAAATGCATTGTGACCTACCGGACCAAGATCCCGTTGACCTGAACGCGGTCATCCTCGGAGTAGCCCGGCCAGTCCCTCTGCACATCGCGGTATACAAAGTCCTTCAGAGAGTAAGAGTTATCTTTGGGGTTCAGGTTGGCCACCTGCGGACAAACACACGAACAAGATCAGCAGCGTCTAATTTTGTAGTCGTCCAATAATTTGGGAGCATTAAAAGCAACAAATACAACCGCTTGTACTACTTTTGTCTCTTTTTACTTGAGTCAACCAAATCCTAAGAGTTAAAGACTTTCTGTTAGTGCCTGCCCTACTTGCGTCAACCTGGGTATAAAGTCAGTGCATTTAACTAGCATTTCATTGTCAAACCCAGCATCTCTATTCTCAATCACAACATTATGCAAATCCCCAAGCAAGTCTGTGTGTTGTTTTTTTATGTACCCCAAGCATGGGGTAGTTAGCATTGTAGTCAGACAACCAGTTTGAGTATGTCATCTATAAATGTGTGCGTGCTTGGTATGTGTGTGTGTATGTGTATAAGACTAATGGCTTTAATGTATAGCTGCTTGATTCTTGCTGTGTGCTATGTTCAGTAGTGGTGAATGAAGGTCTTTGTATTACAGGGAACAGGTCCTCTCAGTGATTTGCATTCTGTGGTCTAACGCCTAAGAAGGGTGAAGAGTCCTAGGGGCAAACAGGGACATTTGTCTTCTCATGCACAGTGCTACCAGTTACTCATACTTGAAAGAAATATCTATGACCTTAAGTGCATATTAAGGAATCCCTTTATATCCACGTATTATATATTTTAGCTCTGCTAAACCATCTTGTCTATGTGTTCTAGTGCTGAGCGATTAACAGACATCGGTTTTTAAAACAACTAATTGACCGACATCGGTTCAATCATTCGAATTTCATTTTGTTCAGTTTTTTTCTGTGAGCAAAATGCGCAGTTTCTCTAGAGATAAGATCAACCCGAACTGTGCGATGTAGTAGGGCGTTGTAGTTTCCAATAGGCCAATAGTGAACATAGTTTAGCACAGAAAACATGGTAATTAACTACAATGACCATAATCCATTGCGCACCTACTTGTCCAGTCTGTTTCTTTTACGCATGCTAAATTAGAGAGAAGAATGCATGATCGAGATGGATATTAACTCGAGAGCAGTTGCTTTGCGAGGTATCTCTACCTGAAAATACATGATCTACTGCAAGTGATTGATAGTTGGTATTCAGCAGTCATAAAAGTATGCCTTAATAACTTTGAAGAAACTTCTCAAATAATGATTTTGCTGGACAGCATAGACAGCAGCTCTATAGAGATGAGATGACTTGGAATGAAAGTGATCAAATAAAACAAAAATGTAATATACACAACTTATTCAAGTGAATAAATTATGGTTAATAAGTGATCATGTAATGGGCAATCACTACCATTATGGGACTTTTATTAATTATTTTATTCTGTGTTACAGCATTCAACCCACATATTGCATAGCGCATGTAAAAAAAAAAAAAGTGAAACTGAAAACAGTGATTAGAAACTAATTTTCAGCACTAATGTGTTCCCCTACCATTTTCAGTGAGGGCTCTGTAGCTGTGTTGGCCCCTTCTCCCCACAGGTTACATCTGAAACCAATAATAAAATGCTATCCTCCTCCCTCTCTCTGTTACTCGTTGCAGGGCACTAGCCTTACTCGTTGCAGGGCACTAGCCTTACTCGTTGCAGGGCACTAGCCTTACTCGTTGCAGGGCACTAGCCTTACTCGTTGCAGGGCACTAGCCTTACTCGTTGCAGGGCACTAGCCTTACTCGTTGCAGGGCACTAGCCTTACTCGTTGCAGGGCACTAGCCTTACTCGTTGCAGGGCACTAGCCTTACTCGTTGCAGGGCACTAGCCTTACTTGTTGCAGGGTGCTCCCCAGAGAGCTGCGGTCCTTCTGGCTGACCCCGTCCCGCTGCAGTCTGGCCAGTAGCTCCAGCTTCTTGTAGGAGCGCAGCGCCAGCAGGTGGACGAGGCGGTCGCGGTACGGCCGCTGGGACACCGGGTTGTTGGCAAGGCACTTGCGGATGGTGTTGGCTGGGTTGATAGGGGTGGAGCGTTTGCGCTCCGCAACTGGTTCGGAGCCTGACGGCGCTGGCTTGCGGATCTGGACTTTCTTACCTGATGTTAGAGAGGGGTGAGGAAGGCGTAGACGAGAAATGGATTTATTTGATCAGTTTTTGTTTCTCTGATAATTAAATGATCCAATTAGATGTTTTCTTGCTAATACCTCAGAATTGAGTTTTCAGCAGAAACGACTAACTAACTAGCAGCTATGTCGCTTGCTGTCAATCCCACAATTACATTTTTTTATCAACATGACAACATTGTTATAGGGTTATTAGATACTGACTGAAAGATAAGGACAAAAGCCAGCAGAGACTTGGAACCCTAGAGGGTCAAAGTCATTAGGCAACCATTTTGTGTTCGGAATTGTATGTGGATTGAAGTTGAACTAACTGTGCGCTACTAGTACAAGTTGTATCATATAAGGCTGATTTGAAGAGACTGAGTTCCCAATGTAAATATCATTAAGAGGCTACAGAGAATCTGTCCCCCAGCTCATTAGGCTTCTGCTTAGTCAGGATGCTTTGACATTTCTCCATACTGCTCTCAGTGATCATGAAAATCTAAAAGCTCTTTAAGAGATTAAGGTTAGAGAGAAACGTGTACTCTCGTCTGCCCCCGCTTCCCTTCGTCTGGGCAAATGCTGATAGACTGCGAGAGATCTCTAAGCACACAAACCATCCACACATTTTTGCTGTCTCAGCCTGGTGAGAGACTGAGGCATGTATGATGCGTGCATCAGCTGCGAATGAGCTTTGCCTGCAGCATTTGGCCAGCCTAGTGAGTCTATATGGTGAACTTACAGTGGGAGATGAAGACCACACAGCAGGTCTGTTGGTTTGCTACCAGAATGACACGTTTAGTGTACTAAACTCTGAATGGCATCAAGTAAATTGGATCTTATTTATGACAAACACTGTATAGGGTCCCAGACCAATATACCTAACTGACATAGCATAAACACACAAGATAAATGAAGGTTAGGTCTCATTTTGCTAATGTTAAATAGGGTGCTTCTACTGAGCCAGTTGTTACATGCCCAAACTCCACCCCTTTCCTCTGCTCCCCTCTCAGTTTCCATCTGGGCCGTTGTATGCAAATGAATCCCCATTGGCAGGAAATACACCGAAAGAGGGTTTAACTGATTTTAAGTTTCTTAGTGAGTGGGACTTTAAGTTCAGAGCCACGACTAGTAAAGCAGATTTCAGGGATTCCTGCAGTCAACTATAGTTCCAGAGTGGTCCTAGAGGTAGAAGAATAAACCTCCCACCAAAGATAAGAATGTGCTTCCTGTTGAGAAAAAACGCAACCCCAATGAATTATGTTAGACAACAATACCAATTTATATGTAGATAACGGGAACTTTATTTCTACGGGTAACCGTGGACAAGCCCTGAACATCCCCCCCTCCACTAGGGCCCTATAAAATCTGTTTAGTTTTTTGCCCAATTCAGTTTTCCCCAAAATTAAGTTTTTTTCTCTATTTCGTTTTTACAGGTTTCAGATTTTTTTTCCCTGTTTTTCAGGTTTTCGCTGTCAAAATCACAATTTGTTTTTTTATTATAGAAAAAAACAATTGATGATGTTCTAAGTCCCCAACAACGATTAAACCACATCCGGAGACCACTTTTGAGGTCTGGGAAAAAAATTGAATAAATACTTTTTTGGGTGTAGATGCCCTTTAATTCAAGTGTGCACCAGCAAGAGACTTGCTTGGTTAGAGGTGTTTCTGTAGCAAATATGTGATTGCAGTTTGCTAAAGAAATCACCACTGGATTGATGCAAATAATCATGATATCATTCTGCCAGATAGACTACTTTGTATGTAAATGTAAAATTTAATTGAGGAGCATTTCCATCTACCAGAAAACGGTTGTCATTAGCATAATTGCTAATGGCTACACAAAGTGTTATACAAATGCACCCACAGAGAGGGGCATTTCCGCACTGTTGCCTCTTGAGAAAGATGAAGGAAAATACAAATTATATATTTTGTTCATGTCTTATAATTTTGGGCAAATTAATACATTTTCGAAATCAGTTCAATATATTTAGGAGTTCAATAAAAATAAATTTTTGAATTCCGTTTTAATTTCTGGATTCCGTGATTCCGTCCGCATCGCAGATTTTATAGAGCCCTACTCCACCCTCTCCATGATCGTTACCATACACTGTTGTGAGAACAAGACAGATTTATACTCTAATATATCAGATATAAAGACATCTATGGGGAACACACATCTTTTACAGTTCTATAGCTGGTAGCAAACGGACCATTAAGGTGACACCAAACCTCTGATGTTGCTTTATGGGGCAAGAAAATTAACTATTTGCCAGTGAAGCTCAGTATATGGTTGTCTGCTGTGGGAGAACTGAGTCCCAAGTCAGCGGAGGCAGATTTGGCATGACCAGTTACATCAACACTGAGCTGTTACATTGCACACTCTCAATCTCCATCTCCCTCGTATCTCCACCGGCCAGACGGGACGGGAGACCGTGAGAGAGCGGAGACCCAAATTAGATTAGCCCGAGAGTAACTTTTACTTTTCCACTTGCCCGACCTCAATCCAGTTGCAGTGTATTAGAAAGCCAAGACAATTGGTTTACAGGTGTTGATGTGTGTGGGTGTGTGTGTGTGTGATGGGAGAAAGTTGGGCTATAGGCCAGGGTTGTTGTTAAATTAGCACTATTTGGAGAGTGCAACTTTAACCCAGATATGGCTGTGTTGGCAGACTGCGTGTCAATATTCATAAATAGCCTCCTTCCGTCACCTTGTGTAACCACCAGGCACAAACAATGGAAAAGTGGGCTTTAAGTTCCATTGCTTTTGACCAAGGTAGTTCTTCAGAGAATCAATGGTTCAAAAAGAGAGGAGGATATGAAAACCAAGCCATTTTGGAGTAGTGGGAACCTGCCTGTGAGAAGACTACTGTTGGGGGGTAGATTAGTGCATGGAACTTGCCTCTGAACTGGCCCCCAGGCTTGAGGACCTTGGTCCCCCGTTTGCGACTGTCCTCCTCGGCCTGCGTCATGCGGTCCCGGGTCACCTGGTAGGAGTCGTTGGTGGCACACACCGTGACTTTGTCCTGAACCGTCCCCAAGGACACCAGGTGGGGGGTCCCTGAGCTGGAGAGGATAGGGAGAGATTTCAGTCATACAGCACAGGGTTTTTCCATCTTGGAACCAATTCAATTAAACCAATTACTCATTGACAAGGCTCAATGACATGGTCAAATTCTGACACCAGAGTGACATGCATTCTAGTTAACCAACCAGTTTACAACAATTTACGTTGGGTCTTCGGTAACGAGCAATGCTCTGTTTAGTTCCAGAGGGTGCTTACCTGGACACATATTGTTGGATGCACTCAAAGCTTCCCTGAGGGTTGTCCTTACCCACGTTGGACAGATAGAAATCAAAGTTCTGAGATCCATCCGGAGAGTCAGTCCTTGGGATCTTAATACGCTGTGAGGTTCACATCAAAAGGACAATTAAAGAAAGTGAATTTTCAAAAATAAATATTTAACCACAGAAAACCAGGAATGCCTCTCTTTGCCCTCAAGCGTTACGCATGGGTGAGGAATTGCTTGGAAGTATTCAATCATTCTAAAGGGGGTGTGAAATGGGGATTCATTTTGCTCTATTGCTATAGCTTCGGGTTGGGGGAGAAGAGATTTTGCTCATATTTGAATGTGACAGAGTCAGTCATGCCAAATAGCAAACCATCTGTAAAAACACTTCTCAACTGGGCCTCATTTCTCATGGTCTCGTAACATTATCCCTTTACAGCGATGTGTGTGTGTGTGTGTGTGTGTGTATTGCCTCTGTCAATATAGACTGATCTGAGTTATGGGATCTCAGATGAATGAATGTGAGCTTGCATGACAGACAGATCTTTGAGGTCTAAGTTGCTGGGAGTGTGAGTGTTGACAGTCTGCAGCTGGGCCCAGAGCACAGGGACCAGACTAGGGTTGCTACATTCTGGGAACTTTCAATAAATTCCCTGGTTTTCCAGAAATCCTGGCCGGGAATCCTCCAACCGAGATATTGGGAAAACCAGGGAATTTATGGAAATGTTGTAACCCTAGTCTGGTTCCTGTGCTCTGGGCCCAGCTGCAGACTGTCAGAGCAGTATTTATAGATCTTGAGACATTGGAGAGTTCAACTCTTCATAGTGCACAGCCCGGGTTGTCAGGGGTTAACCGGATGCTTTCAGAGGGGTGGCAAGAGTTAGGCAACAAGCCTCCAAATACACCTCGTAGCTAAACAAATGCGCATTTCACTGAAACCAAGACAATCATTGGGTCTTCAACAACAGTGGTCAGAATTCTCTTATGTCTTGGCTATACCACCAGCACTCAAATGTTAACTTATTCAACCTTTCATGGTTGCTTTAAAAAAAAACTCAGTCTACCAGCCACAGGGTTGACCCATAGTACTGTAGCGCTCAAGTCAAAATGAAGATTTTAGGTGTGAACATACTTACCCCTTGGAGTCCCTTGAATTGTATTGTTGGCCGCGAGGACGGTACATTCTGAAAAAGAGAGGAAGGGATTGGACATTTTCAACGTAAGTGTCGACTGCGAGAAATGTTCCATCATAATCACTCGAATGTCACTCTGTTACAACTGGAGTTTCACTGAGCTGTGGTGGAGAAAAACACCCAAAGCTTAGTGACAAAAGTAGGCTATTCTGTCAACCAGTCACAGCTCATATGCTCCTGGCAAATCACCTATCTTCTTAACTAGCTAGCAAAAGAGTGCTAGCTAGCATGTTTATAGTTTCATTCATTTCTGATGAGGAAAATAGCAGTAAGAGTAGGAATTAGCAACTCCCTCATGTTGAAAGCCATGTAGGCCTAAATCATAGGCATCTCAAACAAAGTGGTCAGGCATATCAGCTTTACCTCAGAATTAGCAAGTGCAATTTATGTCGGATTATGATAGAGCAAATCACACGTAGTCAGATTACATCAGCAGGTTGTATATAATGGTAGCTACATGGGGAAACATTGGCACTGCAGAATAGGTTCTTCCCTGGCTGTTTTGAAACTTCAGGAACTTCCCTTCAGCAACTTTCCCTTAACAGTGTACACTGAAAATGATTAGGGTAAGTAAACTTGCACGGGGACATACCATTAAAATGTCCCAAAGTTTGTTTCCTGGGCTTACAGGCCATAAACCATTTTCTGAGCTCCCAACATCAAATTTAAAAAAATCACATTAACACAGCCTAAGCCACACAAAATTCAAGAGTTAGCCTACATTTGTGGACCTTCAGCATAAATATCTTTAGAGTTGGCTAAGGCCTAGTCTCAATCACACAAGATTTTAGTTCTGGGTTTCCAAGATTATGCATTACCATACTCCCATCATTCAGCCATTTCCAAACAAACGCAATTCACTCTTTTATTTTGATATCTGTCCTCAAACATTAGATAAGTGAGTTCACACAAAAAAATTGCAGTTCACTTCACACACCAAACTAACTAGCTATAGTCCATCAGCCCATGATGAGTAAAGTCCTGTGAAGTAAAGTGTTCTCTTGCATTTGGGCTGAATGCTGAATTCGGCAGTTTACTCTACAGAAGTTTGTAAAACCAGCCACAGCATTTCACCCATCCCCCAACACACTCACAGACCATCCAGTCCACACATACACTCCTGATCACATTTCATGCCACCACACAGAGCCAGGGCTAGGCAGCTTTCCCACTCCAGTAGATATAGTTCAGCCCCCACACAAATCAGAGAGAGAGAAAGAAACAAAAAGCAGGCAGTTTTGGCTGCTCAGTCAGCAAGAGATGGTAGGCTGGTCTTTGCAGCATACAGGCCTACTGTTACACTTCCAATAAGGTTGTTGGGTCATCAGAATTTAGGCCTTAGGCTAACTACTAGGACTTGGAGTAGATTTTAGTATAGATGTTTCATTATCCCCCTACGGCAATATACCTTGCAGCAAGTAGGTCTAGTCAGAAACCATATAGATATAAAAAATAGGCAATACAAACACTTGTGTGATGTCTGCTAGGGCTATCATGTATTTTTGTGTCCTGTTCTGTATCAGTCAGATAGTGATGCTATCCCCTTAATTGTCTAACTTTGATTGGCTTGTCAGCTTGTTCTAAGCGCCTATTCACCAAGGCGGTGTTCCTTCCCATAGCACCTACTGACACCCTTTCCACCACAGACTTGAATTAGCCTACTCTAGAGGGGTATGCTAACTACGAAACAAGCTAGATCTACTCAGGGCTTTCTAAAGCTAGCCAGCTTTAGTTAGCTCCCCATTCCAGCTCAGGCTTCATCCATACTACGACGGTGGATATTTCTCATCCGCCTGCCGCTATCTCTAGCAGGCTTGTAACTGCGCCAGTTTCTCAATTTCAAATTAAATAATTTTGATCTGGATTTAAAAAATAATAATTAACTAGGCCCTGAACATATGCTACACCGAGTCTGACTAGCTTGTTGCTGGAATTATGTAACTGTTGTTGACAGTCCATTGAACTTCCCAGGGCTCCTGGCCTCGGTTGATCACAGGGCCCCGTTTAGTGCATCTCTGTTGAAGTGCATCCATATTATACAGGTTGTAGGCCATCGGATTAACACGTTAGCTTTATTTGGTGCCTACAGGTTGGTTCCGTAACAGCATCTGTATGGGTCCACAATGACCAGAGGCAGATATGATAGGCCTCTGCTACAACAATTTTTATCAGCACAAAATCTGCAATTCTCTTGTAGTGTGAGATGTGCAATAACACGTTTTCAGAAGGGTGATCAGCAATTGCCAATGAAAGCTCGCCAGAGAAGAAGCCAGTGAGATGATGTATCGCACATAGAAATCCTATTCAATTACTATTATTCCTAATTCTAAGGTATCGCATCACCCTGAATGTGGCAGGAGTCTGTTTTTTTTTACAAAGCCTAATCGTTACAGCTCTGAAGTTCACAAGCAATATGATTCAATTCAAAATGTAGGCTATTGGCTAGATATTTCAGCTCTGTATGGCAAACGTGAGTGCCTGACTGAAAACGTTTGAGACTGCTTTGAGCCACAGCTCGTTCTAGCTAATCTAATCATCACTGTATCACATACTTGTTTTCGCGAGACAGCGTGGTATAGACAATCCTAACGACCAAGTTAAGAATCTTATAGTGTGTGACCCCTGTACTATGCCACATCGTTTAGTGTGCGCACCAACCACTAGGTTGGTAAAACGAAAAAAGGAAAGACAGTCAGATTGACTGTTAGAGTGTCATGGCTAGAACGAATCTAGCTTTTGTCAAATTAACGTCAGATTTGACTTTTCATAGCAGGTTATAATTATTTACGCAACATGTTAGGATAATTAACGTAACAGGTTAGGATAATTAGGTTAAGGTTAGAAAAAGGGTTAGGGTAAGCTAAAATGCACAAAAAAATAACTTGACGCTAATTTGACAGAAACTGGATCCCATCTAGCCATGACCCTGTTCAGCGGCTCAGCGATGTTAGGATTTTGAAAATCGTGTAGAGTACACCCGGCTTTACAGTACTGTAGCTTTAAGAGAGAACACCAGATTAGAAGTAAAAGGAGAGAACCCCAGTAGTACTCATCGAGTGAATAGTAATTTGAGGAAAACAGCAAATACTCCGATCAATTTAAATAGGCCTAGCTATAACGTCTTCATAACAAATCGCAGTCAACCTATAACATATCCTAGGCTACTTGACTGTATGCTTACAAAGATTGGCAAAATTGGTCGTAAAGTTACTCGCCTGGGGAGATAGCTAGAGAATGTAACATTCACATTTAAATCAAGAGTTTAGTCATGAACATAACGTGCCATGACAAATTGACGAACTTTTAGTGTGGAACGCTAGAGCAACTGGATAGGTCTATAGCCAAAACAATATGTTATAATATGGTGTAACCTACTGCCAATCAAATTTTTTGGGGGGTATAAAACCAACATTTTGATGTGGATAAAAGGAAGTGACAATGCCAATGGAGTGCATTTTATCATTTTTGAATAAAGGTGATTTTTGGGGGAGATTATTTAATATAAGTGGTCAAATACACATGTAAGAAAATAGATCGACCATGGTGGTGTGAATATGTAAGTTATATTTTTTTTTAGAAATATTGAAAACTGGTTATACCTCCCTATAATGGTAGCAGCCGGTGACAGTGTCTAAGTAAACACAAACTGTTGACAACTGTATCTGACTACTTTCAACATTAGCCAATTTATTTTGTAATTTTAGTAATCTGTCACTTTAATGTATCTGGCTAGCTACCTTTGTTAGTAGCTAGCCAGCTTGCCAGGTAACGATAACGTCATTCGAGAAGAATTGCCTTCTCAGCTAGATTGGCTGTCTAACTTTAGACTATTGTCAGACATGCCGTTTACATCTGCTAACTTCTTTATAGCTAGGACGTTTGTCACTTATAGCCCCCAGCTAACTACGTTAGCTAGCTAAACGTGTAATGTTAAACTCTTTTCCTAACATCTCCAAACGCCCCAATACTTACTGCAGTGTCAATCCTCCTGAACATACGGTAAATTATCATTAGCGAAAGATGTCACGCGAAAGTGTCATCCAAATATTCATCTATTTCACCAAACAATGTGATCAGTCTCATATTTGAAGTGTTCGCTTGAGTAGAAGAAAATTGACTTGGCCGGGGATATTGTAAAGTTAGCTATAGACAGCTAACGTTAGCTCAAACTGGCTGTGCGTGGCAGTTTGTTCACCAGTTTTGATAGCGTCGTATAACATAAAGTATAAGACATATATTAATTCAACTTACCTTAGCGGTTTGGTGGCTCTCTATTGCTCTGAAAGCTGTCTCTGTCAATTTTACGTGCAATACGGTGACTCGGTCTGCATTCCGTCGGCCATAATTCAGTCCATACCTCCCATCCTCGGAGAGCGCCGCCATCTTTACCAGCCCTCCACCATCGTCCCTCTGACGTCCGAGCATATAGCAACTCTACCTCGCTGAAATTCAAGGGAGGGACTTCCACAAAGGCTTGTTCTAGATTTTTGAGTCTGGTTGGGTTGACTTTTTCTTTCCTCCCTCAGAGACTTCACTCACGCAGTGTATGAATGCTAGTACAGTTCGTCATTGTAAAACTCTTTGAAGGGTAAAAGTGATCGATCGAATCAGATGTGTTCTGTCCACTATTATGTCATAGAGCTATGTACACTTGGAATTGTATCAGTCACGTCATTATGCTCAGCAACAGAACAATCTTCACTGCTATCAGTATAAATGTATGTGTGCTGACATGGTACAATGAACAACGTTTTTATTGCTGACATTTTTTTTACTCTATAAAGTCATACTGACAAGGATTACTTTGAAATCTATTATTTTTGTTTGCTTTTCACTGACAATTCAGAATATCTCACAATTAATATATCTTGAAGGGTTTTATAAAATACTAGCTATATTAGACCTGATGAGCCTCTCATAGTATAGAATATTAGAGGAATACTGGCCAAACCAGTACCCATGGAACAGCAGTTGTCTCAACCTTTTTTGGTTACACATTTTGCTCTGCTGTGGATAGGGCAAGTACCTCCAGGGGTACATGTAGGCTACCCCAGGTTGAGAAGCACTGGTCTGTAATGCAAATTTTTTTATCAGGCTTGAACATAGTAGGGGAGTGGACTCAAAAGGGCATTAAAGCACAAGTCTCCTTGTGTGTACACACCTGCACTATCTCTCCCAATCAGCCCCCACAGAAGGTTGATTATGCAGCGTGTTTTGGTGTGGTGTAGCCTCAGGCAGGGTGTGGGAAAGCCTGTGTGAATCCAGCAGATTACTGGAGCCTGTCTACCACACCCATCCTGTCAGCTTAGTCAATTTCACACACACACACACACACACACACACACACACACACACACACACACACACAACACAAACACACACACAATAGTGAATGAACCGATAATCAGCTGGGCCGATATATCGGGCCGACATTGGCCTTTTCTAGTCTATCTGCCCTTCTGTATCAGCTTTGCCGATAGTCCCGCTACATAGCAAAACTGCTGCTATGCCAGCCACCACTCACCACCTGAGCCATGAGCACTGCACAATGCCGAGGAATGTCTAGCTGGGAAAATCAGCAGAAGCAGCAAGCTAGCTCATTCTCCAACAGAAAGGTGCAGTATTGAGAAATTGATGAATTGACACAGTGACCAAAATTGAACACCTGTTGCAAATATTAATTAGCTTTGTGTTGACGTGCCTGTTCTCTAACACACACACGACATGCCCAGACATGAATGCAATAAGCAAGCTAGCTATGTGACCTGTTAGCAAAGATTACAAGAACTAACCCTTTCATCTGTAGCGTTAGCTAGCTAGCTATATTAGCTACTATGCTAGCTAGCTGGCTAGATAAACATGGTGCTAAGATATCAGATAGGAGATAATAGCCAACGTAGCTAGCTAACGTTAGATGGTTATCATTTTGAACATGCACCATTTTTGGCAACGAGCCATCTGACATGCCGTGTAATGTTAGCTATTTACTGGTGTGCTGATCTGACCAGCCGCAATCGTATCCTTAAATTGACAGTTGAGAGTCGGATTAGAGTACTGTCGTAAAAGGGAAAGAAGGAAGTGTTTTAAAATGCCTAAATAAAGGTTGGCAATAGGTTTAGATACCTAAAAATCTTTCTGCATGTTTATGGACCAAGAAAGCTGTAGATCAGCGCATGTGTGTGCGTTGACTGCGTGGCCACGCACTTCTCCAACTCAATTATCAAGTTTCCAGATGACAACAGGTAGGCCTGATTACCAACAATGACAAGACAGCCTACAGGGAGGAGGTGAGGGCCCTGGCGGAGTGGTGCCAGAAAAATAACCGTATCCCTCAACGTCAACAAAATGAAGGAGCTGATCGTGGACTTCAGGAGACAGCAGAGAGAACACGCCCCCATCCACATTGACGGGGCCGCAGTGTAGAGGGTGAAAAGCTTCAAGTTCCCCGGCGTGCACATCACTGACAACCTGAAATGGTCCACCCAAACAGATAGTGTGGTGAAGAAGGCGCAACAGCGCCTCTTCAACCTCACTTGAAGAGGCGCTGTATCACTGCCTGGTACGTCAACTGCACCGTCCGCAACTGCAGGGCTCTCCAGAGGGTGGTGCGGTCTGTCCAACGCATCACCGGGGGCACACTGCCTGCCCTCCAGGACATCTACACCACCCGGTGTCACAGGAAGGCCAATAAGATCATCAAGGACCTCAGCCACCCAAGCCACGGCCTGTTCACTCCGCTACCATCCAGAAGGCGGAGACAGTACAGGTGCATCAAAGCTGGGACCGAGAGTCTGAAAAACAGCTTCGATCTCCTGGACATCAGACTGTTAAATAGTCACCACTAGCCGGCCTCTGCCCAGTACCCTGCCCTGAACTTAGTCACTGTTAGTTACTAGCCGGCTACCATCCGGTACTCTACCCTGCACCTACGAGACTGCTTCCCTATGTACAGTGCATTCGGAAAGTATTCAGACCCCTTGACTGTTTCCAAATTTTGTTACGTTACAACCTTAATCTAAAATTGATTCAATCGTTTTTTTCCCCTCATCAATCTACACACAATACCCCATAATGACAAAGCAAAAGCAGGTTTTTAGGAATTTTTACAAAATAAAAAACAGAAATATCACATAAGTATTCAGACCCTTTACTCAGCACCTTTGGCAGCGATTATAACCTCGAGCCTTCTTGGGTATGACGCTACAAGCTTGGCACACCTGTATTTGGGGATTTTCTCCCATTCTCCTCTGCAGATCCTCTCAAGCTCTGTCAGGTTGGTTGGGAAGCGTCGCTGCACAGCTATTTTCAGGTCTCTCCAGAGATGTTTACTTTGGGTTTAAGTCCGGGCTCTGTCTGGGCCACTCAAGGACATTCAGAGACTTGTCCCGAAGCCACTCCTGCGCTGTCTTGGCTGTGTGCTTAGGGTCGTTGTCCTGTTGGATGGTAAACCTTTACCCCAGTCTGAGGTCCTGAGTGCCCTGGAGCAGGTTTTCATCAAGGATCTCTCTGTACTTTGCTCCATTCAGCTTTTCCTTGATCCTGACTAGTCTCCCAGTCCCTGCCGCTGAAAAACATCCCCACAGCATGATGCTGCCACCACCATGCTTAACCATAGGGATGGTGCCAGGTTTCTTCCAGACGTGATGCTTGACATTCAGACCAAAGAGTTCAATCTTGGTTTCATCAGACCAGAGAATCTTGTTAGTCATGGTCTGAGAGTCCTTTAGGTGCCTTTTGACAAACTCCAAGCGGGCTGTCATGTGCCTTTTACTGTGGAGTGGCTTCCGTCTGGCCACTACCATAAAGGCCTGATTGGTGGAGTGCTGCAGAGATGGTTGTCCTTCTGGAAGGTTCTCCCATCTCCACAGAGGAACTCTGGAGTTTTGTCAGAGTGACCATCAGGTTCTTGATCACCTGACCAAGGCCCTTCTCCCCCGATTGCTCAGTTTGGCTGGGCGGCCAGCTCTAGGAAGAGTCTTGGTGGTTCCAAACTTCTTCCATTTAAAGAATGATGGAGGCCACTGGGTTCTTGGGGACCTTCAATACTGCAGAAATGTTTTGGTACCCTTCCCCAGATCTATGCCTTGACACAATCCTGTGTCTGAGCTCTACGGACAATTCCTTCGACCTCATGGCTTGGTTTTTGCTCTGACATGCACTATCAACTGTGGGACCTTATATAGACAGGTGTGTGCCTTTCCAAATCATGTCCAATCAATTGAATTTACACCATGTGGACTCCAATCAAGTTGTAGAAGCATCTCAAGGATGATCAATTGAAACAGGATGCACCTGAGCTCAATTTTGAGTCTCATAGCAAAGGATCTGAATACTTATGTAAATAAGGTGTTTCTGAAAACCTGTTTTCGCTTTGTCATAATGGGTTAATGTGTGTAGATTGATGAGGAAATGTTTTTATTTAATCCATTTTAGAATAAGGCTGTAACGTAACAACATTTTGAAAAAGTCAAGGGGTCTGAATACTTTCCGAATGCACTGTACATAGGGAAGCAGTCTCGTAGGTGCAGGGTAATTTGTCTCCTCCCTTCATCTACACTGATTGAAGTGAATTTAACAAGTGACATCAGTAAGGGATCATAGCTTTCACCTGGTCAGTTTATGTCATGGAAAGAGCATGTGTTCCTGTTTTGTATGTATGGGTACACAACTAATACAATTTGATTTGCGTTCTCACTTCTCAAACTATGAGCAGATTTGAGTCATTCAGACAGAACATGCACCGTCGTTTCATCTTTCTTCCTACCCAAATTTCATCGCCATTGAGCTACAGTAGTTCTCATAGTAGCAGTAAACAGCAGCAAGCGATATGAGAGATGTGAAAGGGAGGGGAGTTACAGCCTTGCTGTATACAATCGTAGCAGTAGGATCAAGTTACAACACCATTTCTTGATAGATAGCTGAACTAGCCAATTTAGTTGTTTCTCATTTCTAATTTCGTCCTGGTAGCAGAGATGCATCCTGATCAGCAAAAAAAAAAAAACATTTTCCAGATTATGGAAAATGACTAAAAATACTAGTTTCAAAAGCATCAGTGATCACAAATCATGGACGATGGACCCATTTGCACTGAATAGATTTGGTCATTAACATTTAAAAATGTAATTATATTAAATATCTGCCTAAAATATCAGCCATTGACCCCCAAAAATCGGTATCGGCATCGGCCCTAAAAAAATCCATATCGGTTGTTCTCTAACACACACACACACACACACACACACACCTGAAACAGTCATCCGGACCTTGATAAACCAACCAACCAACATACCCTGATGACATATTGTCCTCATCGTCTTACAGGAATTACTGCATAATAACAGTGAGATTTCCTCACAGAGGCATGTCATCTCATATGATGACATTTCCTCTGTAGCATGCCTCCTCTTTGTTGACACAAGTTCTCATTGTTCGAGGTTGTCAGAACTGAGTGGGGCGACAGAAGAGGTCCTGAAGACTGTGCTCCTATTCCAGCCAAGCACCCTGCTGGGCACATAGTGTGCAATGGATGTGATTGGACTAATTTACTTAACAGCCATTGTTTTTACAACAGCCTAAACCATCCTAAAGCATCCACTACACAGGGTCTTAAGACCCGTG